AATGGCACAAGACCCATGTCCAACATGCCTGGCAGGTTTCCAGCTGTGTTAACATCTGAGATGAAAAGCCGGATCTCCTCCTTACAGTGCTGCCCATCCAGCCATTTTTTTTCACACAGCAAAATAATCATTCTTAAAAGCCATCTGAATATAACACCCCACTGCTGAAAACCATTCACTAACCTTCAAAACTCCCGACACAGTATAAGCTGTCAAACTTGGTGTACAAATGCAAGTATGATCTGTGCTCTTGCTCTCATTTTTTATCACCTTTCTCTGCTCTCACAGTTTATCCTGCCCTTCCTCTCAGACTCTGTGTCCTTCTGCCTAGCATTGAAAATAGAGACATTCCACATGCACAGATATATTATCTTCTCCCAGACCTTGTCATGTGCTCTGTGCCATTCACACTTACAGATCCATCGTTCCCAAAATTTCCCTCAGATATCCCACCGCCAGTCTCCATACCCACCTTGTCTGTCTGCACGGTTCCTATGCATCGTTCAGGTCTCACCTCTAAACACGGTTCCAAGTGCCTCTTAGTGTCCTCCGGCTCCTTGTGCATCTTTCTTAAACTTACCTGAGTTTTCCGTGTGAGTAAAGGAGTGGTCTTCCTCTATTTCATCCCTAGAACCTGGAATGGTAACTGGCCTGCAGTCCCCCCCAAAATTATATTGTGAATTAAATACGATGAGTTTACACAGATAGAGACACTTGTACACACACACACTGATGTGATAACAAGGGACGTTACTGATCAAGCATTCGGGATTCAAAACCAACTTCCTGAGGTCCCATGTCTGCAAGTAGAAGTGGTTTGTACCTACAGGCTGGAATGCACCCATTCATTCACTCACCGTTTATTCACACTGCTCCATGACCATATGAAGCTTGCCCCACAGACTGCAAATCGAAGCTATGAAAGTAGGACCGCATGTCCGTTTAGTTTTACCTAAACTCCTCCACGTTGAGCTTCCAGGTGCTGAAAGCTAAGTGGAAAACAATTACAGTATGGAGTCAACAAGGTACAGAGAAGGGGATGCTAGGAGGTGGACCATTTGCCTCCTGCTGCAGGGAGCTGTTTCCCGGGAGGTGGTGTGAGGCAGGTCACTTTGAGCTACCTCCAACAAGCAAACAGCGGCCATCAGTAGTGCAGGAGATGTCTCCCCGTGGTTATGGTGCTGTATGTTTGTGAATGGTGCTTCATTTTGATTTTGTGTTCTTTTTCCTGTCTATTCCCTGTCATTGACTATCTGCAGTCAGTCAGTATATCACCCCAGGTTATGTTGTGAGGCAGGGGAGAATGATAGTGTGAGAAAATACAAGTCTAGTCCTGGCAGCGCTGATAACAGACTGTGTGGCCTTGGGAGGCTACTTCTCTTTCCCTGGTCTTGGGTCTTGGTCCTTTTATTTCTAGAAATGTCAACATCTACATCAGGATAATTAGAGATGTGGTTGCAATTAAATACAATCTTTCTTGCATAAAGAAAGTGTCCAAAAAGTTGGAACACTTCTTTTTTTTCCCTCTACGTGGAATAAGGTTTAAAACATATATCGACCTTTGACGACATTTGCATTTGTCTTTATGAATATTTTTTAAGTCTTGGGACAAAACGTTCTTTCCTTTCTCTTGCGGATGTGATGTATTGTCTTCAGTGCTTTAAGAATCCTTTGTTTGTTGTTCATGGAATTGCGTGCATGTCCCAGTATGCTGTATTTCTCCCTGACAATTTGCTGGCCAGATGTTTCTCTCTGATGTTCCTGTAATGGAAAATATAACGCAATATTCAAGGAATGATTTTTCCCCAGTACAGAAAACTTTTGTCCACTGCTTTACTTCACCAATAAACTTAAAAAAGGCTGAGGGACTCTGGAACACAGTGGGAAAAGTGTAGAGCGGACTCAGAGGGGACCAGCCAGCTTTATATTATGTGGATACATGGAATCCAGGCTTGTCTCATCTTTTCCCCAAAGAGAACATTGTCACATTTTGTTTTAAAGAGCTCTATCTGGCTTTGCTGTTCACAGACTATGTAAAAGCAGATGTCGGTTTGTGCCTCAGTTTCCACAATGATGCAGTGAAGATGCTGCAGTTAAAGAAAGATGATTAAGCCTTTGTAAGCTTGAATTTTGTGCAGAATAAAATATTTATGTTACGTGGAAAGAAGCCAGGCAAGAAAGAATCCATCCTGCCTAATTCAAATTTTATAAAGTGCAAGAACAGGCAAAATTTGGATATGGTGATAGACGTCAGCATAGCGGCTTCCTCTGGAGAGTGTATTGATGAGGGTGAGCAGGAGGGAGCCGCCTGGGCACAGCAGGTGTCTTCGATCCAGCGAGAAGACACACACAGGTCAGAGCCGCTTGTGAGCTCCGTTCACTCTGGTAGATGCATATTTAAATTTACCTTTAAATAAACCATAAAACAGTGTATACAATGACTTATGAATTCTAAATATGTGTAGGAGGGTATGGAATTAGTATAGAAAATATACAAATGTATCGAAGGTGTTTGTCCTAGGATACTATCTCAGATTGTAGGATATTTTGCCTTCGTGTCTTATGCATTTTATAATTTTCCATTTGGATTATATGTTAACAAACAATGGCAAAAAATTGTTTTATTTGCTGTTGGTCATCAGTACATATTGAGTCTGCTAGACTCTGTAATTAATGGAGATGAGTAAAATCTATATGACCAGCAATGGAGCTGTTATTCTAGGTCAAAGATTTTGAATAGAGAGAGAGATTCCAGCTCACCCCATGTATTTGTCTTAGAGAACATGCTTGTTTTCTTCTCCACAGTACTCCTAGTGCCTTGAATGGTTCCTGACACATTGCAGGATGCTTATTAAATATTTGTTGAATGAGCAAACACATTTGAATTGCAATAAAATTCTCACACAGGGCTTGGGTATGACTTGGAAGCAGATAGTGAATATCCTCTGCCTGTAGTACAATTGTGTTTTGCATCTGCCAAGACAGGGTATGAATGACTAATGGGTTATTCTCTGGAATAAAAGCCCTCCCGGCTTGTAGCATGGCAGAGAAAAAGATGAGATTTAATGTCTGGAAGTTTCACTTGGAATCTTGACTTAATGGCATTCTCCTTTTTGTGGAGTTTGCCTGGCTGCCCAGATATGTAGAACCCACTTCTCTTCACTAGAAAAACACAAATGCTTCTGAATGTGATTGAGATGCTCCTAGTCAGCTTTTACTAGGCTTGCACCACAGTGCACCCTCTGTGCTAAGAGAGTTGCACATGTCACCATATTTCTTGTATGTGTGAAGCATGTGAATTAGAGAACTCATTAAGTATCCAGTTCTTCTCGATGGTGATTGAATTCTTAAGACGATTCCCATTAACTTTCTATATATTTTATATCACCTATTATTTTTCTTTAGGTTTTGCAAATTAATCTGGATTATACTTCATTGCCCTTTCCCTGAAGACTTTAAATTCCTCAAAGGAATGAGCCATTCCCTTCTTGAGTTACATAGTGTATTGAATTACCAAGTCTTAAGTGCAATGTTAATGGTTGTAACCTCTGCCAGAATAGAGGCAGTATTATCTCTGATCATGGGTCATTAATGGCTTTAGGATTCTTTGACTAAAGTGGAATTGTTTTCTTCTTTTATATATACCAAGCTCCAGCTCTGTGCCTTCCACACTCTTCGACTTTAATCTGTTCTCTGGAGCAATAGAGTTCTCCAACAAGCTTGAGATGGTTGACTGTCAAAATCCCCATAATTATGTCATACAGGTAGCAAGTCAGGTGACAGTGGCACTATTCTATGAGTGGCATATCACAAAGATGCAAGATTTCTTGATCCAGAGAACGGGGTGGAATTTGGAAGAGATGCACATGGGTTGATTAAAGGAGGGTAGAACAATTGTGGGGCTTTCAGGAACTTATGCCAGCCTAGTCGCTGCCTTGGTAAAGAGCATGAAGAAGCAAAGTTTGCAGAGGAGATGCCATAAAGGGAGGGAAATGCTGAGGGAGGCTCCTTCCTGAAATACGGGCTTGGGGAAGGTCACTGGCTGAGTGGGTGGGGCAAGGTGCGAACTTGGACCACATTAGCGGTGGTGCACAGGTGGGAACCGATGCCATTGGTGTTCCCTAAATTCATCTGTATGAAAAGAAAACTGCTATTTCCCAACAGGCAGGAACTGATGTTCATTTCATGTTACCTCAGTGCATCTATATTTTTAAAAACCTGACACTTTTGGAGTGTCTGCTGCATGCCGAACTCTGTGCGAGGCATTTCCAGATGTTACTTCATTTACTGCTCAGCGCCACCTCTGAGTTAGGGATTGCTAACCCAGATGAAGAAACTGAGGCCAAGGGATGTGACGTGGAAGTAAGGAGAAAAAACGTATAGTAACTTTCCTCATCTGGAGCGCAAATGAGAATGAGGCATGGGTTTTTACCTATTTCTTTCTATTTGGTCGGTTTCAAGTGTACAACTCAAGAAGATATCATCTGCACAGCACTGTGCACCCATCGCCCCAGGCAAAGTCTCTTTCTGTCCTCTGTGGTCCCCACAGTGCCCACCTCCAGCTGCCCACCACCCCCTTCCTCTCTGGCTGCCACCACACTGCCGTCTGTGTCTGTACGCTGTGTGTTTGTGTGCGTGTATGTGCGTATAATCCCTCTACCTTCTTTCACCCAGCCCCCCAAACCCTCACCTCTCTGATAGCTGTCCATCTGTTCCGTGCATCCATGCTCGTGTTTCTGTGTTGTTCATTGGGTTAGTTTGTTCATTAGACGCCACATAAAAGTGAGATCATGTCTTTCTCTGACTGGTTTATTTCATTTAGCATAATAATCTCCAGGCCCATCCCTGCTGTACAAAAGGGAGGAGCTTCTCCTGTTTAATGGCAACATAGTACTCCATTACATAAATGTACCACAGCCTCTTTACACAGACTCCGGACTCGTCTACTGATGGGCACTTGGCTGTTTCCAGAGCTGTTGTAAATAACGCTGCAATGAGCAAATATTGTGAAACACTTCATGAATTTGTGTGGCATCCTTGCTCAGAGACCATGCTAATCTTCTCTGCATTGTTTCAATTTCAATATATATGCTGCCAAAGCAAGCACAAGGCATGAGTTTTTAACAAGCACTGAAATTTCTCTTTCCACCCCCTCCTGGCTTTTTTTTTTAATGTTCCCAAAAGGCTGGGATTAGGAATCCTCCCACAGCCCCTCTCTCTCTCGAGGACGTTTATAGCACCGCTTCTGATTAACAGATTCGACCCAATGGCATAAGGCACAGCTTCTCCCCTTTAGGAAAGAACAAATAAGAATGAAGTGTTAGATTGCATTGCTAATTATATATTCTGTTCAAGTGTCAACCATCTGTTGCAATTGTTTAAAAAGCAGACATAAGTCAACTGTTGGGGTGAGATGTTTACTGTTGTAAACACACAGAAGTTGGTGACACCAGTGGAGATCTGTCGCTCTGGCAGGTGCCTGGGGCTGCATTGCGGTCGATGTCTTTGGAAGCCCACCTTCCTGTGAGAGGGTCAGTGGTAGCTCCAGGTCACTGATGATTAGGTGCTAGTCATACTTCACACCCGGAAAGGGTTCTTAAAGGCCCAGCACTCTCAGTTTTCAGAAGGGATAACTGAGATGCAGTGAGGAAAAGGCACCGGCTATTCTCCACTTTAAAATGTCAGCACTTACAATTTTCTGCAGATGTTTGTGTATGCAGGTAGGAGGACTCTCCCTCAGGTATATTAAGTCTCTAAGGAAAAGGACAGGATGCCATTGTCTCTAAATTAAATGCGTAGAATGGTACCCAATGGATCACAATGTCTAGAATATGTTGTAAAAGTACAGTTAATTGTAAGATGGGGGGAGGTGTTTTTCTGACATGGCCAAAAAGCGCAGAAGACACGGCACAGTCCCCTCGCTCCAGAGCCATGCCTTTCTTCTTGTTGTGCATTTGTCTACTGAATAAGCTGAATGTTCTGCCAAACTTTGGATAATTCTTTAGTGAACAACTGGCATTAGACTGCAGGTTACTTTCAGTCTCAGGTTACATTTAACGTCTCAGGTTATTAGACGATTCTGATCTCCAGGACCACCAAGGGGAGAATGGCATGGCGTCATGAGCAGGGCTGCCCCCAGCCCGCTTTCACTGGCGTTGGCCGGCAGGTGTTCCCTCGTATCCCGGATTTGGGGTCACCCGCCAGGGAGGGGGCTTCAGTGTCAGCCCATCACATTGCACAGCCTTCGTTCTCGTTCATTGGTTCGAAATCTGCCTTCTCATAGTTCTAGGATCTGTTTCTAGTTTTGCCACCACAAGCAATGCCTCCCCGGAGCACCTCCTCCTGTTTTCGCTGATCTTGTGATGCTAATAAGAACTTCGATCCTCTCTTTTCCATTCGAAATTGCAAAATCCCTTTGCTCCTCCTTCCTCATGAACTTTCTTATTCAGACGATGGGGCTGTTTCTTGTGGAAACATTCCAGTTCAAATAAAACGTTCAGGTTCAGCCAGGGGAACTTGTGAGGAACATTTATGGTGCCAATAGCATCCCTCTTCCTAATTCCTGACTAATTGAGTGCACGCTCAGGCAGCTCAGGATAAGTGATGATTTCAGATTAATTACTGCGCCAGGCAACTGCATGCATTTTTAACCCCAGAGTTCAGTTGGGTACTGACTTTTGTAGACATCTGCAGGCCTCTTCAAAGATAGGCATGGAGTAGAGGGTGAAAGGGGTTTTACATTTCAATTAAAGGTCTGCCGCTGACATCAGACTGGTGTTTTTCCTGCCAGGAGTGGAGGCCCCTGAAGTTCACGGGAGGGCAGCAGCACCCTAAGGCGTGTCCACAGCACTGCCCCCTTTGGGGGTTGGGGTTGAAGGTCCCTCGGTGCGACTTAAAAAAACACTAAAAATAGTCCCCCTCTTACAGCCCGACAGGAAAATAACTGAAAACAAATGAATGCAAGAAAAGTTATTGATTTTTCCTCACATTATGCTTAGTTTTAACATCAGAGCTGCTCTGTTAAACATATGGCCATAAATACCTCAGCCTCACGACTATTTTTATTCTGTGTCCTGACTATTCTTGGGCTGCCAGCACCGCCTCCACCCGGGACATCTCCTCACACAGACGCCCCTCTGATGACTGCCTCACCCCCTTACCCGGGGGAGGCAGCAGTAGGTCACCATCCATCTCACAGTCTTGAAGAATAAAGCCATCAATGTGTCTTCTTTAGTTTTATACACCTAGTATGCACTGTCTTACATTCCCCAAAGACTGAAGGTAAGCTAAAACAAAAGGCATACAATAAAATAATAAAAAATGAGAGTAAGAAGATAGGACTGGGGGAAGTATAATTGAGAGTAGAAATTCAGAATCATGAGAAGTGAAACCCAGTGTTCTAGCCATAAGGGATTACACTGTGGCCACTTTCTGCTTCTTCATCCCTGGTCTTCTTAGAAGCCAAGCAAAATAAATAATGTTTTATGTCTTCATCACAGAAAGGAGTAGGGTCATTATTTTTTTCTTAGGTGTTTTAATGTTTAGATGTAGTTCGTTATTAGGGTAATTTATTTTCTGTGTCCTGGTTTTACTTTGGGCTCTCTTCATTAGAGTTAAGATGTAATGTCACAGTTAATGTGAAAAAGAATAGCTTGTGTTCCAGAAACACACCTGGTGTGACAAATACAAGATATAGGATGTTGGGAACTGCCCTGCCTGGTTTCAGGAGCTGGAATCCCCCCATGGCTATGGCTGAGTGAGGGACCTTTGGCCCATAAGCCACTAAGGAGACAAAGCTTATGTCCCTGGCAAGAGCACCGCTTCTGCTCCTTTTTTCATAACTGGCCTCCAATGGTTGATCAATTAGCCAATGATGGGTAAGATTCCCCAAGAGGGGAACAACCTAAGACAGGCATGATCTTAGGGGGCCCCAGGGAAGGACTTGGGGGGCTATGGAGAAAGGGGGTGATGGACCCTCACCCCTCAGCTTTGACAAAGCCTGAGTCCTCATGTCTTCTAATTCTTTGGCTGTCTTGCCTCCTCTGTCTGACTTAAGCCTGAAACAATGACAGAGGGTGGTGCAGCCCTGTGTAGGAAAGGGTGGGCTCTCCAGTGATCAGGCCTGAGAAAGGATATGTAAAGTCCTGTGAAGCCTGCTTTGCTAAGAATGCTGTTAGTTAAATGATAAAGGCCCAAGCAGAAAATGAGTTTGCTTCCCAAAGTTTTATAGCCTTTTAGCTGATAGACCCTGACTCAGAAGAAGCCTTAATAATTCTTTGTGTGCTATCTACTGTTTGATCCTTACTGCCTGACAATGATTAATGAGCTGTACCTGTATTACTGCTCAAATTAAACCCAATAAAAGCCTGTCTAGGCAAGGGTCAGTGCTCTCTCCCCTTGAGAGGGTGGCCAAGCCACTCTGAAACACTCCCCCCTTGAGAGGGTAGCCATGTGGTCCCTTTTCCTCCACAGGACTCAGTAGTCCGTGTGAATTTGTCTCATGTCTAATCCATGGCACTGTGGGCACTGCAGGCCACATCAATAGGAAGTGAGTGGGGATGGTAGAATCCGTGTAGCTCAAATCCATAAAGCTTAAGTTCTCCCAATTTCCTCAATGAGAGCTTTTGTTGTCAGAAATGTAATGCAGCCCAAAAGGCAGGACTCAAAATATTGCCATCACCAAGTCCAGATCCCTCTAGATTATCCCACTCAGTTCAGATGAGCATGACATTCTCATTGCCCTTTCTAGAGCGATGTGACTCTCACATACAGAATTAGTCCTATCACGGACTAGAAATCCGAGGAGCTCTGGATGAGCAGGGTCCGCACTGAGGGACACATTCAGAGGGGTTCTGGGCGGGGATTGAAAGACGCAAGCTGTGAGGAGGATGACTGGCGTCCGAGGAAGCAGCGATGTCCAGTTCTCGACCGTGCTTTTAAGAAGTGGGCAGTACACAAAGCAAAGAGATGAGGCAGAAGCAACTAGGATTCGGGGTTAAAAGAAAATACTTGTTTTGTGAATAATGTCGTTCATAAAGTGGGAGAAACAAATATATTTTAGGTTCAGAGAAAGCAAAAATGAAGAGTTTGGATGGATAAATAGAGAAAAATGAGACAACTGACACACCCACAGATAATAAAGAAAATGGGGAGTTAATGGTTGGTTGAATAGACTCAGTCTGGATCTGTCTGGGGCACATCTGTGTTTCTGGGAAAGGTTGGGTGTTGATGAGGATAGGTGACTCCCCTCTGCCCCACCCCAGGCCCTGCTGGCTCTGGGTCTTCCTTTCTGCGGGACCACCCTGATGTGGAATCATGCACAGAGTCACTTACCTGGGGAAGCCCCGTGGTGCTAACATCAACCCTTCAGAGCAAAGCCTGGCTCACAGCAGGAAGCATCTATGCCTGTGATGCTGTGATGGGGTGATTTGCACAAACAGGGAAAATACTCTGTATTATCCCCAGGCTGCAGAATCTCGCTGGAGAGATTTCAGGATGGATCTCTACTTTAAAAGAAAGTAGTTTGGTACCTGGGCCTGGAGAGAAACAGAACCCCAGGCCTATGGAGTGGGCCAAGCCTGTTAGAGATGAGTCCTGATACCTTAAAAATATCCACCATTCCTCTGCTTCTTGTTGCAGGGAGAGTACCAAAGACATTTTCCTGATGGGTGCCTGCCCCAGGATAACAACAAAAATTTGGAGTTAGGGGGGAAAAAAAAGCAACATCAGGCCTTCAAATCAAAGTTGTAAAAATTGCCACATTGGGCACATGACCTCTAAACTCTCTGTAACTGAGCACAGAGTTTAGTGTTTTAAACACAAGGAGGTTTTACTATTTAATATATGTGATATTTGAGCCAGATGTTTTAGGATTTTGTCTTTGAAATGTAAAGCTACTTTTCAGTTTGAGATATTTTAGCTTGTACTCATATTAAACAATCATACTTTTAAACAGAAGCACCATGATAATTTCTATTTTTACCTACCTTCAGCCTTTAGCAGAGAATACTCAGATGCTGTCTCTACCATTGGCTGATTCTGTGACTGGGGGGAAAATTTCCTGAGATCCCTGAGTGTCACCGTTATCATTTGAATATGGGGGTTCTA